TTTGGCGGGTGGGGGTGCGGGGGGCCGGCCGCATCCTTGGTGCTGTTGGAGGAGGGCTAAGCCGGGTTTGGGTTTTTCTGTGGAGCGTCTCCCTAGCTGCTTGTCTCTACGAGTTTTAAAATGTTGGACGAGCCAACAGCCGGTCATACGCTTTCCTGTGGTCCAGCCAGCAGAGCCGTGAGATTCTGCAAGTTCTTACCCACTCCTGGACCTGCTGAGTTGCTTTCCTTGCCCTCCTGCCTGTGTGCCCCGTGAGCTCCTGTTGCCTTTGGTATACTGTGAGCCAAAGCAGGGAGATGCCAGTAGAGCGGGAGAAATGGTGCTGCGCTTTGCTTGTGATAAGTCTGCGAGATCGCGTTGCTTCTCTGTCCTCTGTCCTCTTTTTGCAGTAGGTTGCAGGTAACAGGAGTATGAGGCAATTGCACTCTGTGAAACCAGAAACGCACAGCTGAAGGGTTAGAAAAGAGTTTTTGTAGGGGCTTAGCTGAGTTCCTGGTGCTATAATTATTTTTTTAGGCTTATTAGCAATGTGGAAGTCCTAGACTGAAAAATTGGGATGTGTTTATATGTTTGAAAGTTAGGTTTTCGTGTTTTCTTTCCATTTTAGGCCACATCTAGACTCCTGGTGAACTACCGAGAACCTTATCGCTCCCAGATTTTAGATTATCTGTTCAAGGTAAAGTTGGTTTCACGGCTACAATAATGTCTAGTTTCATGCTGAATTTCTTATTGTGTAGTGTTGGAACTCCTATAGTATATTCAGTACTACTTGAAATTTGACAAACTCCCATTTTGTAAAGCATCTACTTTAATGTTGGTTTTAATCAGAACCTTAAATTTTAGCTGTTGTTTTTGACAACCAGCATCTTGTTCAGGAGCCAGTTGCTTCAAATTATTATTAAAATGCTTTTATGTTTTCACAATATGTTTAAAAATATATTTTCAACATATTTTCTTCATCCATGTGGGCTTAATGAGGATTAAATTGGTTTTGTGGCTAAAATGAGGGGTTTAGCTGTTCATAGTGATTGCAGGAAGTGGGTCTTTGAGACAGTTTTTTTTTTTTGCATACAGATAGTCATATGATGTGAAAACAACTGTGCAGGCTGCGTAGTTTCAACAGCATATCTGTTCCAAACTTGTCTCAAGTATAAGTGCAATGACTCTATAAAGTGTGTGAGTGTTATTGGTTTGTGGGCTGCTTCAGTTAGCAAGTGTAACCTGTGGAGTTGCCCAACTATATAATATGTGGTAAGATTATTGCACTGGACAGTAATAACTTGTTTGCTTTTGGCACTGTAAATTGCTGAAAGACGATGTCGTGTCACTTTCAAGTAGTGTAATCGAGATGGCTGGAGGGGAATAATTTGCTGTGTGGTTTAAAGAATTGGTTTTAAAGGGTAGAATAAGGCATAATATTTGACTGGGGGATCAAAACCTATATTTTTTGGAGACTGAAGCTGTGTGTTACAAATACGAGTTTTCTGAAGGAATCAGTAGGCATGTGGTAAAAGAAAATCTAGTTGAGAACATGATTTTCAAAGAATTTTTGGTATGTTCTTTAACCAAAACCTCTTAAGCTGTCATGAGATACTTGGGAGTGGTATACCTTGCCTTTTTCTCCTTGTCTCTTAATGTCAGTCAGCCTTTGTGATGGGGATGGGAGAGCAAATGTGTTAGTTTGAAATCAGAAATGTCAGGAAGAGAAATGGTAAATTTGGAATATTTGCTTCTTATTTTAAAACAAATTAAAAAAATCTAAAACTTGCAAGCCAAGCAAATTATCGTCTATGCAGCTTTTTTTTTTAATCAAACTACGTTCTTGCATCTTAAAACTTTTTTTGGATGCCAAAAGTAGACTTGGGTAATTCCATGGAGGAGGCCAGCTCATTAGCGGTTATTAAAGTAATGATCAGTTGTAACTTTTGGCTTGAGCAACTCTTAAGGCACTAATGGCCAGCAGAACATACTAGGAGTAGGATCACCTGTAGTTGAATTCAGCCTCACCTGAGGTTGAATTTTATATTCTGCTCCGTCAGCCAGATGCTGGGGAAGAGCATGGTGGATTGGGTTTCCAGTGCCGTGTTTTTTCTCTCTTGCCTTTCTGCCTGTAGTTAGCAGATGCTAACTGTATGTATGCGCTTTCACATAATCAGTGTAACCTTTTACATAAATGAATAAATTATTTACTGAAATATTAATTTTAATAATTTGATTTTAGGAGAAAAACTGAACTTTTAATAACATTAAAAATACTGTTGTGTTCCTCCTATAGCCCAGGTTCTACTTTAAGAGCACTTCAGTATTTTCTTGAGCGTAACGAATTTAAAATCTGCACAGCTGGGGAGAAGTGTGGTTAGTGGTGCAAGATGTGCTATTTATCCTGCTTGATTTCCTTTTGAAGCAGAAATTTGTGTAATCTCCCATTACATCTATAATGGATTGAATTTCCTAGCATCCTCAAAATTGTACACTTATTTAGTGCATTCTTCTTAACAGCAGGATTCTGTTTTTCTGTGTCTCTTTGTTTTTCTAGCCAAATTTTGGTGCTTCTTTACATATCCTCAAAGTAGAGATTGGAGGTGATGGACAATCAACAGGTATGGATTTTGCATGAGCAGAATTTAACTTCTCATTGTAATGATGCTGTGACATGTCCTGCATGTGTCACTTTGGCTGAAGGGTGGAGATACATTCTGTAGTTGTACTGAAGTTGCAGAAAAACATAAACAATTTCTGCTGGCTTGTAGAAGAGAAATTTACACTAGCATTCGGAAGACTGTGCTCACTATCATATGGTTAACAGGTTGTGTTCTAGAGCAAATGACTTCTTTTTTCACCCCAAGATTAAGAAATCTCTAGTAGCTTTCTGAATTGCAGAGCATTTCTTAAACACCAATTTTGCAATACAAACTCTGTAAAACTTGGGTAGGACTAGGTAGGTTATATCTTAAAAGCATGAAAGTGTGAAGACAACTGGTCAGAAGGAATTGTTTCTTTAGTTTAATGAGTTGCTACATTTCACTGGAGTGTATGCAGTTTTTTTTTTTTTTTTTTTTGTTTTCCCTGACCACAACTGCAAATGAGAATGTCTTGGTGTAATTTGCCTAGCCTACTATATTTACATGTAGGAGAAGCTGTTTAATAACTGCTTGTGATCGGAAACTGAGAAGCAGTAACTAGACTACAGTTTGTGTCTTTACTTCTGGGGTGGGGAAAAATAAAATCTTGGCCAGGTCAAGAACAGACTTAAAGCAGACTCAGTTAATAAATACAAAGCATAGCATCTGTCTTTGTGGCATTTTTTGTGTATATATATATATATGTATATACACACACATTTTTTTAAAGTCTGTGTTTGTGTAATTAGGTATTGTTTTTCATTTCTTTGATTTACTTTCCGTAAGAAAAATTAACATGGTGAAAAGTATTATTCTGGGTTTAAGAGCGTGGTATTTGGTCAAGAAGTTGCTGGTTAGAGGAGAACGGAGTTGTCTTCATGAATGCACAGACTTCTCTTCAAACACTCTCGCTCCTGGCTGAGGAGAATGTTACATACTCGTGTGATGACTTTCCAGATTTTAGAACAGTAAGATGCAGATGTCTTAACACATTAGACTGCAGCTCTTATTCTGACCTCAGAGGTGTGATCAGGAGCCTGTCTGAAATGTAATCAGGAGTCTAAGTTTGGAATCTAGTTGTTGTTCTGTGTCTCTAACAAATAGAGCTTCCATGTAATCAAGTGTTAGTAAGGTAAAAAAAAAAAATCATATTTTCTGTAACAAAATGTGCTGTTTCAGCAGACTTCATTTAAAAAAAGAAGTCTCATGAGAAGAGATCACTGGAACAATTAGGCGTATACCATATTGTTTAGCATAAGTAATTGTTTCAGTTGCGTGCACAAGTTAATTAATTGACTTTTGTGTGTAATGACTTCCCATGAAACACTGATTCTTTTGCACCTTTCTAGTTTGCTTACCTTTGCCTGAGGGAATTCAGTGCATAGCCTTCAATTCCAAAAACTCTTCCTTCAGTCATGGAACACTGGAAATTACAAACTAGGTCTTTTACTATAAAAATCTCTTTTCAGTTACTGAAAAGCTTCATGGCAGTTCCTTTATTTTTTCTTCCTGGACTTGCATTGTGCAAAAGAAACAAAATATAACCTTTTTTGTTTGCTTTTTGATTTAGATATAACATGCCTTTGCAAGTGTAGTGTTTTCTATTTTTTGCCTCTTGATCTTAATGCTACAGCTTTCCTGGTGGTTGTTGGGAACAAGATAATAATGAATATAGATTTAGTATTATCATAGCTAGGGACAGAAAATGCCCAGTTAGTCACATACTGATGTTAAAAGCAGGCATATACCCTTAAAAATGAAAAATATTTAATTTGTGCTAAGTTAATAGGCTAAGAATGAAGATGGCAAGTCTTGCCTGTTCCCTGCCACTACTCATTTTGCTTTGAAATACATACTGAAGAATGTATGAACAATATTGCAGATATGTGCTTGCATACTATAGCGGTGAGGAATACAGAAAACTTTATTATGTGTAACAGCTTATGACACAGAAGATAATTGTGAGCTACCTGTCTGTTTCCTTCCTAGATGGTACTGAACCCTCCCATATGCACTATGAAAATGATGAGAACTACTTCCGGGGCTATGAGTGGTGGCTGATGAAAGAAGCTAAAAAGAGGAACCCCCAAATTAAACTGATTGGTAAATTGCTTCGAGCTTTAGGATTAAATGCTTTTTTTCCCCTCTAACTAAATGGCATATCTGACACTTAATTAGCATATTAATTTTAATGGGCAGATGTTTTGATGTTGAAGTAGAATGCCTAGTATTTGGTAAGCTTGCCTTGATACTTCACTTAATGTGCTTTACTTTGTTACAGTAGCACAACAAGAATGTATGTAACAAGTGAAATGACTCTCTAATCATTTGCTTGTATCAAGTAACATTAATGCTTAGACTGTAGCACAACAATGAACGTAAATGATTTATCATGAAAGCTGAATTTCTGAATAATAGAGTAAAAATAATTGTGAGGGATAAAGTAAACTTGCAGGAAGTATAATCTGTAAATCTTATGTGCACTAAATTCAATTATATGTTCTTATTACAAACCCATCATCCCCTCCCCACTGTAGTGGTTCTTGTCTTCTGATTTGTTTGTCTTACGTAGTTAAGTTGTAAGAGGACTTTCCTATCTCCCTATTTTGATTGTGGGTTGTGTGGGGGCTGTGATGGTAGAAATATGGAACCCTAGATTTTAACTGAAACACTTTACAAAATGTATTTCACACGAAACAAGGGAAGAAATCTATCAATTAAAAAATATTTAATCCTCCCTCTTCCAGGGGTCAGGCTTTGCCACATCCAGCCACAAGGGATGACTTGGTGCAGGATTTGCCAGTCAGGTTCTGTTAGGTTCTCTGACAAGCAGTAAGCTTACCATCTATGACTAATTGTGATTATATTAATTACTTCCCTGTTCCCTCAGATCAAGCTCTCAACAAAGGAAGGAGGGTCTGCCTTTGAATTAGCCTATGGTGTCTTATACAAAGTCAGCTGAAAACTTAGCAGGATTTGGTTAGATTAGTTTGTTGTTCTTATTTGCTACAAGATGCGGTAAACAGCTGAGACTTGGAAATGCATTTTTATGATCCTAATGTTCCTCTGTTATGATCAGATCATTACTTCTTTTGAAATTCATATGCAGGAGAGTAACAATTTCAGTATTGATAGTTTGTCTATAACTTTGTGAGTTTTTATCCCAAAATCTTTGGAATTTTATACCTGTTAGAGCTAATACCATATAACTGAAAGATTGTGTGTAGTTGGTTGTTCTCTAGTAATGAAGGTTTTCTAGCTTAAAAATAAAAGCAGCTATTGGTATGATCAAAATTGATATTACAGCATACTATTCAGTTAAATAAGTTATGCTTCATTGTATTCACTGGAATTTTGGTTTTGAAGTGCGTATCTGCTCCTTTGTTTTAGGTAGAACAAATTACAGCTTGCTGTTGAGGCTTACTGAGTAATGTAGACCAACCACTGATTAATTTGTTTTTCTCTTTCCAGGATTACCTTGGACATTTCCAGCATGGATAGGGAAGGGTGAAAACTGGCCCTATGACTATCCAGATGTCACCGCTTACTATGTTGTTTCTTGGATATTAGGAGCTAAACAGTATCATGATTTGGACATTGATTATATTGGGGTCAGTAAAGCAGAATCTCCTATATATTTCATATATTTTCATTCCTAAGATCTTGGTCATGTCTCTCTTTGTTGATTACTGGAGGTGGGGGGGATGGGAGAAGAAATTATTTTGTAATTGCAGTTTTAGCTTTTTCTGTTGCAAGGGGAAAGGCAACAGAATGTTAACTTACAGTGTTACTGCAATAACGGCCATTAAAGCAGAACCAGTGTAACGGGGCTAGTCTCCCGCCTTCCCAGTTCTAGAAGAAAGTTACCAGAGAATTTGAGAATTCTGAAATCTGTTTGAGTCTTGGGCTTGTCATTTTCTGCTTTGCTTGTTCTGCTTGGGTTTCAGCAGTTACCAGCTAACAAGAAGCATTGCTCAAGAGAGACTTAGTGAAAGTCACCTAACATGACTTCTTGGTGTAAACTGTGGTTGCAGTTTTGCAGAAGGGCAATCGTCTGCATCTTCTTCCATTTTGACCTGCATTATTTATAGTAGAAAAAGATGCATGTGTTACAGTACATTAGAACTACTGTATTGTGTTACCGTGCAATGTATGGAAGTAGCAAATGAATGTCTGAGAAAAATGACATAATTTGGAGATGAGGGAGAGGAGCAGATAATCTGGAAAAACGCTGTTCAAGTTCATTATTTGACTGAGATTCAACTTTTCCTTTTTTCTTCTGATTAAGAAAATGGAAATGAAATAAGCCTTTCAGTAAGTTAACTTTTGATTGGCTCATTTCTGAAGTTACATATTAGCACTTATGGAAAGATGTAGATATATTGAAATCAAATGGACATATGCCACATGCAAGAAACTGTCTGCTTGTACATGGTTGGGTAATGTGCACCTACAGGGGGATACTTTCACCTTTACTGGTGAATGTTAGTCAGAGTGTTCATCTTGTGTTCAGAAAAAAAGAAAGAAAGAAAGTTTCCAACTGTGGATTTTATTGGCCAGGGTACTTGGTAGAAAGGAAGAC